ACCAAAGTAGCTAGCTGATCATGAGCCAAGTTTAACGAGAAGCACAATTTCTAGTCTCTCGGAACCTCTGAAGAAACTTAGTGCCTGATTCATTAGTTTTCTGCCTTATAGTTGTCAAATCGGTAATCCTCTTTTCTCCAGTCCCAGTATAAAAATATGTATGAAATTTCTTTTTTAGGTCAGCCCAATTAGCAATGGAGTTGACTAGCAGTGATGAAAACCAAGTTAAGGTTGGCCCTAATAGGGACAAGGAGAAGAAACGAACTCGATGGGCCTCTTCAACGGATGCTTCGCCCAACTGTGTAAGATACCAACTAACATGTTCTATTGTGCTTGTGCTGTCTTGGCCAGTGAACTTAGCAAACTCTGGGAGCCTGTAATTTGTAGGAAGAGCGACCAAATCATACCATTCTGGATATGGACGTTTGTACGAGAAGGTCTACCCTTTTGGCTTCAGACCGAACTAATTCTTCATTATCTCGGTCACCTTTAGCAACAACTCATCAACTTGTGAATTTGGATTTCTCTGCACTTGCTGACCCATCTGTGGATTGGAATCTCGTGTGCCTTGATACCCTAGATTCGGAATCATGTGAAGGGTGTTATAATCTATGCCATAATGATACCCTTGTGGAATCTCTATCTGCTGGGTCATTTGCTAGTTTGCTGCTTAAAGTATCTGATTATAGACATGAGGATCTATATCTCTATGGATCCTTTGAATTGATGGTGCTATTTTTTGAGCCGACGATGGTATGTGGCCTGATGTGCCAAAATTAATCATCTGGTTCTGACCTTGCCGTGTTGGTTGTTGCACATGCTGTACTGACGATCCAGGATTATACTGTATCTGATTTATAGTAGTACCTTGAGCTTATTCAGATGAACTCTGAACTGCCTGGACATCATCATTACCAGCTGGTGTTGCTTCTTGATGGCTGGTACCGACTTGATTAGTCCCTTGGGTCGACGGATGTGGAATGTTGTAATAAGCCGGCCCAACCTGATCAACTAGAAACCCATGAAACACCTCTTTCATGGCGTTGTGGAATGTGTCCAAGAAAGCTTCATTGTGGCTTGATATGGCATCATGAACATATTTGTTTACAACTTTCGTGAAGAAACGTCTGTCTTCAGCTTCATCTACGTCTGTCTGCCCATGCAATAGAACTCTTGGTAGTGGATATTTCTGAACAATTGTATTGTCACGTATTTTGGTGTAGGACAACAAACACTTGTTCTAAAATTCTTCTATAGTTTTGTCGATGACATCTCTATCTCCATCAAGTAGGTCTTCATAATGTACCATAAGGATGTTGTTGTTGTTGTAAACCGCCACGACGATTGTGGGGTCCCACCGAGTGTGCCGGAACATGTGTCGACATGAAATTTCATTCCGTGTTGAGGGCACACGAGCAAGCGTGAAGGGTCTGCTCGATGGAGTTGTAGATCCGACTGGCTTCAATGCAGGGGTGGTCGATTCTACGTACTCCTCCCGAGACGTGCCAGTCAATTTGACCCTACAATTGAAAATGAGAGAAAACTAATCAGTAATTTAAGGCGGAACATGCCGGTGTTGCTAGATAGTCCCGAATGTGCGGCTCTGAGAGTCGATATGAAAGGAGATCGACTAAATAGTCAATTCCAGTATATTCATAAGAATAAATTAGTTAAAGCTCATGGGGTTATGAAAGAAAAATCGGTTATCATTCAGGATGAATATCATTATTTAAACAAATATTAATCAATGGCAATAGGATGTTAAAAATAATCAGTTTATGCTGAGTCAATGACTGCAAGTAACCGAATCCCTTTTTATATAAAAGAAGCAGCTCATCATCATTTAACCATTTAATAAAGATAAATCTAATGAACATGTTACATCTCATCTATCGTTATGACCAGTGGGGCATGAGGCAGAATCATGCAGGCCGTAGAAACAACGATAAATTGGATGACCCTAACTTATTACTAATATCAGTGGGGCATGAGGTAGAATCATGCAGGCCGTAATACAATAATAAGATCATGGGGCTAACACATCTTTCAACCAATCTTTACTTCAACGGTCTCATGACGTGAACTGCATATGTGAAAGCACTCGATATCGGCTAAACCAACCGATTTAGGCATAGCGCATAGTTAAGGTCATGCCCTATCAGAAATAGATCTACCAAATAATGATCCTCACTCCACGGTGTTAACAGTGGGTTGTGAGGCAGAATCACATAGGCCATGATAACGGGCCATGGAACGGGTTTCGTTAGCCAATTGATCTATTCAAGACCAAACATGCCTTAACCGCACACTATGCACGATCAAGATTAACATAAAACAGCCGATAAAACATAACTTATCATTTAAGATGCAGATTAGATCAATTTAGATTAACAAACGATGGGTTAAACAGGATATAAGGCCGATCTAGATCAATCCTAATTGGGCGAAGTGATATTGCTGTAATTTAAATAAATAATGAAAGCAATAAGCAATATCGGTAACTTAATGAATCTATTCGAAGGACGCCACCCTTAGATAGAGCCGATAACTTAACCTTAATCGAGTTCGAGCAGTGAAGGTCGACGGGATCGATGTAGCCGTACTTGAACTAAATAAGAGTTGATAACTAGCTTATACTAGAGTCACAGTGGAGGTTGACCGGATCGATGCAGCCGTACGAAAAGAAGTATAAGCCATGATGGTACTTACAGACAAGCCGGAGGTCAGCCGGACCGATGTAGCCCTGCTCGCTGAAGAACTCGCCAAGATCTACTCTACTACTCCTAAGGGGTGGCCGGAGCCGAAAAAAGTAAGGAACTTGTATTTGATTGATTGTGTGTCTTTTACAATAGCCAAGGTCCAATATTTATACCCGGAATCTAAACATGAAACCTACTCAAACACGACTCGTTACAATCTTCGGGATAGAAGAAAACATTCCTAATTTAAGATAATTTGGACCCTAATCTTTCCCTTTTTGTAGAGTCCGATATGTAGTTTCCTGGCGCCAACCGTAGCTCATCATCGCTATCTGCTGACGTCATCCAAAGAGATCCGATTCCAGAGTCGTATCTGAATCAGCTGATATCGATCCTTATGCAATCGATTCCTTGATGGGCACAATTTTGGAAGAATTCGAATTCCCGCGTTCTTCTCTCAAATTTTGGTGTAAACATTATCATACTTATTGATCTTCAAATGGGATATATATATATATATATATATATATATATATATATATATATATATATATATATATATATATATATATATATATATTGGATCACCACTTCACTCCAACGGTGGTATGGTGGTTTTGTGCATTTTCGTGGCATACCTTACTAGTATGATTTTAGGTGCATGTTGCTTATTTTAGAAAGATATCCTTGTTCATGCTTATTTTACCTTCTTGTCAAAATATTGCCTATTTGTTGTTTGAATGCTTGATCAAATTGGCAATATTGAGATTTTGTCCATAAGCATTGCTATCAAAAGAATGAGAATTGTGAGATCAAAGAGTTTGAAATGGATTTCATGCCAAATCAGTCTTGGCAGGATATTTGGTTAGTTAGAAAAGGAAGAAGCGTAATTTGGAATTTATTGGAATCAAACTCTCAAAGAAACAACAAGCTGTGTGTGTGCAAAATTGGCAATTCCAGACTGTCTGCATGGGACCGCAGACTGTCCGCAGTAGAGAATAAGGTCAGCATCAGAACCTATGCAAAACAGTCGGGGCCGAGGAAAATGAATGGCGGACTATCCGCCGGTCAACCGTGGACTGTTCACGGGTCGGGTTTTGGTCCAGACCGAGCCCGACGGGAGCAGTTATAGCCACATACCCCTTCGACCAAAACACAGTGGCTTTCTCTGTCTCAGCTGAGCGGTCACAAGGAAGAGGAAGGAGGGGACCGAAGGGTTGGTGGCATCCCCGGACACTCCGCGAAGTTCTCCGGACACTGCGCGAGCTCCTCCACCATGTCCTGTCGGTATTTCAAAGTTTCCCTCTCAGATTTGATTAGATTTCAAGTTTGAATGGCATTTAGGTTTGGTTCTTGATCTACTTTTTGAGCCATGGACTTGGAAAACCAAATGGGGGTAGTTGTTGCTTGTACTGACGTGATGATTTGCCTAAAGTTTGGTAGAAAGTTATTGAATGAATCATGAGATACGTGCACGAACAGTAACTGCGGACTGTCCGCGCCTACAACGACGGACTGTCCGTGGGCCCTGTTTGAGCACATCAGCTGCAACATTGGATGATCTCTATGCTACAAATATTAGTTGATGATTATAATTAGCTAGCAGCAGCAGTTCTATCATTCAGTCCACACACACAATACTTTAGTTTGAATCAATCACAGAGTTATGGCCATGGAATTCTATTGTTCATAAAAAAATCATATATATTTATTCTCATACTCATGTCTTGCAACAAATTGAGATTACTTGATCCAAAAATGACAGTGGTACATCTATGGCAGTGATTCTTGAATATTCATGCATGCCAGTTATACATTGCCATATGTTTGTGAATTGACAGTGGAAAAGGCAAGAAAGTGACCACCTCCAAGAAAAAGATAGGAAGCACATTAGAGAAAAGGAGGAGTGGGGATGATGTTGGGGAGTGGAATCCAAATTCAGATGAGGACATAGATGAAGAAGAGGAAAGTGATGATGAGGAAATGGATGTTTCAAGATACAAAGGAATTGGCAGGAAATGGGATTGGAATAGCTATATGTTAGCAAGAAGCCCAAATCAATATGGGTTGGCAAATGATGCTACTCTGCCATTCTTCTAGACCAAGGTACAAGAAGATGCTTACTTTGGGTACATTCGTACAGCCATGGTTCATAAGCATCAGTACATCAATATGACATTCTTGATGGACAAAGATGTAGCTAGTGGACTGCTAGCAAACTTACATAACATTGGTCTATATGACTTTCTTGAGCACAAATGCAACTAGAATGACTTGATTGTTAGGTAGTTTTATGCAACCATGGAAACTAGGACTGACATAAGTGAGATTGAATGGATGACTGGGAAGAGGAGATATATTGCTACCTTTGATGAGTTTGCTGAAGCAAATAAGATAAACAATGGGCTCCTGACACACTCCATTGATCTTGATGAAGAAGATGCATTGCCTGTGGATTTGTGGAGACAATTCTATGAGCCTGTGCCAGAGAATCCAAATAACCCTCACAAAATTGGACATCCAAGGAGATTAAGGCATCATCCTGCTCTAGTCAACAAGATTGCATGAGTAGAATTCTTGCAAAAGGCAGGTGATAGAGGTGTCATTAGGGATAAGTTTTGGAATATCATCCATCATATCATGTACAGGCAAAAGTTTGATGTGGTCAAATTCATAATGAATCAGCTGGCAATCTTGAAGCATGACATGACTACAAATCTTTACTTTGCTCCTTACATCATGTCTCTCATTTTTCAGAAAACATGATTTAAGGGGGAGTGTCAAGTCAAACATGTTGACTTCAGGCCATATTTTAATGAGCCAACGTTTTATGAGAGAGCACTAACTCCCTTTCCTCCAGTTGAGGGAGATCAAGAAGTAGAAGCTACAGTCGATGATAAGCACATGGATGGTGATGAGAATCCAATTCAGCCACAGATGGAGCCAGATCCTCAGGAGAATGGATGGGTACCTCCTCCAGGTTACTTTGATCCCTACTTTCAGAACATGCAGAACACATGGAACACATCCATTGCTCAGTTTGGTGAGAGTATTCAGCAGCAGATGCTGCATGGTTTTCACACCATGGGGCAGCAGTGGCAGAGTCACATGGACACTAGTTTTGAGTAGTTCAGGCAGCACCTTCACTCCACTATGTATCAGCCGATTATGTCCAGGCTTTAGAGTGTCCTGCAGGGGTTCCATAGTGACATTGATGCTATCAATGCATAGCTTGGTACTTTGTCTACACTGGAGCAGTATCTGCAGATTCAGAACAGGCAAGATCACCTTGAGCAGCGTGTTGATGTGTTGAACAACAACTTCAATACCTTCAGTGACCACTTCAACATGATCTATCCAAGGCATGTTCCTCCTCCAGCTCAGTTTCCCTATCAACCTTTTCTATCCACCTCAGTTTCATCCTCCACAGTTCTACCCTCCATGTGATGATGATGGTGCATGAGCTTATCTTTTTGGGTAATGTAATGACAAAGTGGGAGAAGTGAGAAGAAGTGAAGAAAAATTGAATAATTTGAAGCTCTTGGATGGATGAAGGCTTGCTTATGGACCTTTCATGTTTTTATTTATTTGTTGGACTATGCATTTGTTTGCTTGCATCTAGTTGTAATAACCTTAAATTCATACTTTGATGGCTTGTGTGTGCTAGAACTTGAACTTATGATGCTATGGTGTATTGTGCTTGATACTTCAAGTTAATATTGTGTTGCACTAATATTCTTGTGAAGTTGTTCTAGCATAATTGTTGTATTCCAAGGATATTATTCTTGTGTATGGCTTCTAAAGGTAACATTATATATCTTGTGTTCCTCGGTTACCACTATGTAGGGAAAACTCCACCAAAATTTCCAATTTATCCATATGTGAACAAATTGAACCCAAATTTTATGCACATATATAGGGGGAGCTTTCACTACATAGTTGAGTTTTGAAACATTTATCCATCCTAACTCATGTGCTTCATGCTATGGATAAATGGTGCAAAACTCTTGTATGGAGTAGGCTTAAAATTTCAATTATTCTAAACTTCTTTTTGAGGTTGCCATCAATTGCTAAAAAGGGGGAGATTGAAAGATCTAGGCCCTTATTTGGGTTTTGATAATTAATGACCACTTGTGTACTAACTTCTCTATTTGAGTGTGTGAAGGAAAATTAGTTTAGTTCACAAGAAAGGTTGGATATTGATATGGATTTGATTGTTAGCATGTTGAAATGCTCAAATCAAACATAGCAAGCAAGTGAAGACCGAAGCAAGACTTGGCTACAATGGACCGTGTGCAACGCGATGGTGAAGGGCAAGCTATTGGGCTTGATGCCGATGGATCGAGGCGATGGTGAAGGGCAAGTCAAGAGGCTTTGGAGCGACAGACTGCACGTGGCGGAGAAGCTTGAGCGAGACTTGGCACCGAAGGACCGAAGCAACGTTAAAGAGCAAGTGAGACTTAGGTCGATGGACTTGATGTCTATGTGGTGGTTTGAATGATCTACATCATCTATGAAGATCAAGCGAAAGATTCCTTGTTTATCTCAATTGGCTTGGTAAACATCTCAGACAACATTTTCCTTGCGGGCATCAAATTTGTGGCATTTGGATTTGCGCAAGGCAAAGGTATGGAACACAGGGTGTTTCATTTTACCGGCTATAAGGTGTCTAGAGAAGATTAAGATAGCCGGATTTAGGTTTGATAGCTATACTATTAAGAGGGGCAAACATGCTTTGCATTATGGTTATCTAGTGCCACTTGTGAGCTCTAACATTGAGATACGATTAGTGGTGAGTGGCAGAAAAGTTAAAAACCTTTGTGAAAGTTTTGGTTAAAACCTAAGTGGTGGCGAGTTGAATGATCGTCTTTGCGGGAGATCGTTTCTTGGTGCTGGCTTTCGTTGAAAAGGTTTTTGAGAGCGCTAGTACTAACTTTGAGCTATCTTGGAACTCTCCATTTGAGGTGTGGAGTAATCGTCCGAAACAGAGGAGGCGATGCGCTTGGAGAAGTGGTTTCTGGGAAGCCACAGACTGTTTGCCCCTTTGGCTGCAGACTATCCACCGGCCACTCCTAGGAAACCGATTAGATTGGAAACAATCTGTTGGTGACTAACTGATGAACAGCGGACAGTCCACGCCGTTGGTGATCAGCGGTGAACATTCCATGCCCTAGCGGTGGACAGTCCGCCGGTCCTTTTCGGTGATGAGCAGAGTCCCTGAAAACTCTATCTAGGGAGCTGAGTTACTACAATGGACAGTCCGCGACCCCTGTGGCGGACAGTCCGCAGGTCTGGAATTTAAACCTAATGGCTAGTTGCTGACAGCGGCAGACAGTCTAGGCGTTTAACCATGGACTATCTGAGAGTGTCGAATCAGCACAATAACGACTAGTTTTTGGGTGCTCCTCTATATATTGTGGGGTGCTCGGTTGGAGAGGGTTCTCTTGGCTATTCTAACAGCATACTCTTTGGGAGAGTACCTATCTAGCACCTCCTCTCATACTCTTTGCTTGAGGACAACATTTGGAGAGTGACTGTGCTCCACTAGTGTGAATCTTTGCGTGAGAGATTGCTTGTGGCACTAGGTGGTTGTCATGTGGGTGTGGTTGCTTGTTACTCTTGGAGCTTGCCGGTTCCTAGATGCCTTGGTGGTTGTGTCTCCGTGAAGAACGCAAGAAGGATTGTGCGGTGCTCTAGAGTTGGCTTTGTGAGGGGCTATTGAGCTCATCCCCACCAGAGGAAGGCAAAGGGCATCTCCACTAAAATCCACGCCGCCACACCTCATCGTCGTCCCCACGCCTAGATAGTCTCTCCTCATCATGCCATGGTGCCCCTGCCCTCTTGCCCTGCCACTACGCCTCGTCGCCATCTCCACACCATCGTCATCCTCGGCCCCACGCTCGTGCGCGGGCTGCACGTGGATCTATCATGCCGGCGGCACCCTCTCCTGCGCCGTCTCCGCCGGTGGCCCAGCTCGCGCCTCTCCCGTCTGTGTGCGGCGCCTAGATCCCACTAGTAGAAATATCCACTTCTATGATGATCAGCTTTCGTCACTGAATGAGCCAAATTCGTCATAATTTTAGTTTTGTGACAAATTTATGACGAAAACCGGTTCGTCATAGAAGTCGCGTCACACTTGAAATTATATGATGATTTTCACAAAATGATATAGAAGTGTCTTGATCTATGATGAAAATAGAACGTCATAGAACTATTTTGGCATGCATGGCAGGGGGTGCCACGCTGGTGGGTGCTTCCATTGGAGATGCTTTCCACATGTACATGCTATAGCTGGTTGCATTGGAGATGGTTCGGGTACGTGTCACCTTCTTATTGCACAACGTGGCCACCTCTAGTTCTTGCACATTTTAGGTTCTTACTAGACCACATGTCATGTTCTTGTTGTTCCACATGTCAGTTTTCTGTGGGCACACGTGTCGTGTTGCGGTTGGATCACATGTCACTTTTTCATTGGACCATGTGGCATATTTTTATTGGTCCACGTGGCCATTTCTTATTTGCCCACGCGTCATGGCACTGTCCGTCCATGTTTTGCATTATTATTCAGCCACGTGGCTTGACGACATCCTTCCATGTGTCGATTTTTTAATAGCCAACGTGTCATGCTTTGGCTATTTCGCATGTCATGCACTGGTTCCTCCACGTGTCGCATTTTTATTTGATCACGTGGCCTATTCTGGTTCTACCGTATGGAGTACAATCAATTCGTCATAGAAGTAACTCGAGATCATCACTACTGCACAGATTGACTACATAATAATTTAGCCTGGCAATCAAATAACCACAATTAACATTTCATACGTCAGCAGCGAAACACTAACAGAGTATCACAACATCAAACCATCACATGCATCCACACAACAGATCATAAATATTCACCGCATCAAGCCACAGGAGTTGAAGACAGAGAGTTAATTAATAGGAGAGCTTAAGCACAAGACTAGCTCACTGAGCCTATTATACTCCTCCTATTGTTGTTGCTTGAATTCCTTAAGCTCCCTTTTAGCCTTTTTTGTTCTCACCTTTAGTTCATCCACTAGTTTGATGAGCTCAGATGTACTTTCCTGTTCACCAGCAAGCTGCTCCTGAAGTATCATCTCCACCGATGTCTCTACTCTGGTGGAGCTTCTCAGGATACCAGCATTCTTCCAAAAAAAGGTTTTTGCTGCTTGCTTGGGAGGGGCGCTTGCCCTGGTAGAGGCAGAGAACCTTAGAAACAACATCAGCACTAGTCATTGGTTGCTGCCCATCAGCAATAGGTTCTGCTTGCATAGCTTCCATAGCTTTCTGCGAAATTCAATCAGTAAAACATTAGGTTACAGATAGTAGAAGAGGACTTCAACTAAAAACCCAAGAGATTAATTCATAACAAGTAATGCATAGGACTTCCTTAGACGACTGCTGATAGAGATTATATAAGCACAATGCATAGGTCTTTTGCAGCCTACTACCAATAGAGATTACATAAGCACAATATACAGGTACCATATTAAATGTTGTAAAATTGTAACTATAAAATTAAATGATGTTGCCACATTAGGCTCCTGCTACGTTTCCTTCTTTTATGGCAATATGTTCGGTAGATTTCAAGGAAAGCAAATGAAGGTACTTACAACTGCTGCTCTTGCAGCATCGCTTAGGCCCTTTTTCATACTGGTATGGAAGTCCTTGAAGACTTCCACAACATTAATATCTTCATTAGGTCGACCATGTTGTTCAAGTCCTGGATCATCACGTTGTTCATCAAGTCCTTGATCGTGTTCTACGGCCTTCCTCTTGTTCCCCTTCTATTCACATTACACATGAGTTTATGTTTATATATATACAAAGGCAAGAGTAACAATAAAACACAACCATCACTTACAAATATTTGTAGCTAGACAACATGGTGAGGACATCACTCCCTCGGATGTACCCGCTGATCCTCCAACCATCATGCAAGGTCCAATGACCCGGGCTCGAATGCGTCAACTCAATTTAGAGGTGAGCTCGTTTTTAAGCGATCATTTTCATACTTTTGAGAATAGACTACTACCTAATGATGTTATCTTTCTTAGGAACATTGGAGAGGGTCATGAGGGACTTAGAGGACGTGGTGGAGGTGATGATGACCAGCAAGGACGTTCAATAGAAATCGGAGGTCCGATCCAACATGATTTCGAGTCTGCCTGGCCTCCAGAACTAATCTGCCTTAAAGTGGTCACCTAGGACGTATTCGGACGCCGTTTTCGACAATCCACATATGGATGGAAAGCTAATTTGATAAGGAAGCCAATCCAGGTGGTTTCACATCAAAAACTATATGGAATCAACATGAATCATGGTCACAAGTCACCGTCTAGAAT